TGTGTCATCCCCTGATGAATGCTCCCAGAAACAACAAATGCTCTTGGCTTGGTGGGCTGAGGAGTCATGGGGGCAACAATCAAAGGAAACCTCAATTATTATCTCCAGATGCAAGCTCATCCCAATAGAAAAGTTTGGAGTGGTCGCCAAAGTAAAGCCTGCCTGGGTGAGCACTTTGGGGTGCATTATCCTGAGTGAATTTCTAAGGCATACTGACCTTGGTGGAGGTGGTTCATCATCTCTCCGTTCCACGATCTGTAAGGCTCATTTTGAAGATTTATAAGGCAATAATGGTGCTGTCTTCCTATTTTCTGTCTCAGTTTTTTCTTTGAGAAGTAACATTTGTCCATGGTAAATCATGAGCCACACTCACCAGTGTACTGCATCAATACTTAAACCAACGTAAGATTAGAGTTAAGCAAAAATATTAATGAAACCAGAAGCTCAACTTAAAAGTCCAGGCTTCTCAAGGCATTTAAACTAGAACCAATCTTCCTCTCTCCATTTGACTGCACTGACCTACAGGATCTGTAGGTGGAATATCTGTACTATCCAATGCTTTACTCCTCTCATCTGCTCCAGTGTCATATTTCTTTGATATCAGGGAAGGTGATTGGATAATGTAGCAACGAAATAGATTCTTTTGCAGGTGGCTTATTATTGGATAATAAGAACAAACCTAGATAGTTCGAGACAGCCAGCATGTAGGCTAGCTTGGCTTTGCTTTGCTAGCTTGCTTTGCTTTTATATTATGTTTTTGTATATGCTAGAGTAAGGTTCTCATGACTTATTTTCAAAATTGGTCACTCGTTTTGGAATCATAGGAATATACAGAATTAAGTACTGATACATTGAATATATAAGAAGTAGATTTTAAATTTTGTATCTGTAGTTCTACACTTTCTGTGAGATAAAATTTGTAAGTGAACTTCTATTTTTTTATTTGTTTGATACTTCTGGTCTATTTCTGTAATTTTCTGTTGCCTTCCATTTGAAGTCAGCTGAGAGATAGAGGTCTGTGCAACCTACAGTGTTTACAACATCTCTCCTTTCTTTTCTATGTAGTTAACTGCCAAGGCTTGGCTCTGAACCTTGATTCCAGATAACTGTGATTCCAGGTACCACTTTCTGCCATTCCACTTTCTCCACTCCTCAGCTGCCAGCATCCTCCTCACTGAGGAGTACAGATGAGCAAATTTCAGCAAAGCATCTGCTCAAATACTTGCCAAAGTAAAGGACAGGTGAATAGATCCCTGCCCATAAGTTTGGTGGTCCAAGCTGAAATTGGAACAGAGGAATGTATCTTTTTCTATAAGCCAGATTTAAAAAAAAAAATCTTCCTAGGGTCCTATCTGCTTCTTGCTTGTGAGGAAGCAGTTAGTGTTAAATTTTATTAACTTGTCTTGCAAACTTATGTCCTTCCATGCAAAGCTGGCTGGCACAGGTTCTCCAAGGCCACAATTCCTCCAGCATTATCTTTTCATCAAGCACTGTGTAATGCCCCCTTTCCACAGTATTACAAATCTTTGTGTTTCTAAGAAAACATAATTGCAATGTAGTTGATGATGAGGTATATTTTTTTAAAAAAAAAAAGGTTTGAATGACTGTTCACAGCTAGTAACTGCTGTGCATCAATCTTGTGTGTGTGTGTGTGTGTGTGTGTGTGTCAGTTGTGAGCTTGAACTCTGGGCCTGGGCGGTATCCTCAGCTCTTGAGCTCAAGGCTAGCTCTTTACCACTTGAGCCACAGCACCACTTCCAATTTTCTGGTGGTTAATTGGAGATAAGAGTCTCACAGCCTTTCTTGCCCAGGTTGTCTTGTAACCGTGATCCTCAATCTCAGCCTCTGAGTAGTTTAGGATTACAGGTGTGAGCCACCATGACTGTTTGTGCATCAGTCTTCGTGCTTGATATTTTTGATTTAATTTACTTGTACTAATGAAATATTTTAATAAAGAAGTGAGACCCAACAAGACTTAAAGAAGCCTCTGGTGTACAATACTTGTGATTTAGTCTAAAAATCTAGGTTTTCTGGACCGCACTTTTCTTTGGCTAGGCTTTGAACTCAGGGTCTTGCACTTGCTTGGCAGGTGCTCTACTAGCTGAGACATGCTTCTAGCCTGGCTTTTTGCTGATTAACTGGAGATAGAGTCTCAAGGACTTTTCTGCTTGGGTTGCCCTAGAACTGTGATCCTCCAGACCTATGTCTCCTGAGTAGTTAGGATTATAGTCATAATGCACCAGTGCTCAGTAATACAGCTTTTGTTACAGTTGTCCTCTACCTCTTGTCCTTCCTCCCCTACCCCTTCTACTGCCCACAAGTCTTTATCACTGCTTCTGAGTGCCCTAAATCATTTCTTGCTTTTACCTTAAACCTGACCACCTTTGTTAAAAATTAAGTGTTAGCTAGAATTTTTCCTGATAAGCAACACAGTTCACTGTATTTACCTTTTTTCCTGTCTCCATTTTATACCTCTGTGGTATTAAAGAGTTTCATTTTGATAGTTGCATGTACATAGTGCACTTTGGACAAATTCACCCCTCTACCATAAATGAATCCTTACCCTTCTTCCTCCCCCACTTTTATGTCCTCTCTCTATTTTAAAGATTCGCCTGTGTTAAAGGTGGTCTCTCCTTGGTTTTGCAGGGTCCCTGTTCTCTTTTGCAATGCTCGAGTTCAGGAAATCCTCACATTGCAACATAATGTGTTTCTAAAGTGCCTTTCTTAATCTGTTGTTTGTAGCTTGCAATTGGTTTTCTCAGCAAAAGAGGGCTTTACGTGATGTTTACAGTTCCCAGTCCAGCTTACAATAGCTTGCTTAGTTTACATACTAGACATTTGTTGAAGTATTTACTAAGCAAAGATGGTTGAAAGTTTTTCTGTTCATTGCCATTGTGCTTCAGCATTGTGATGTTTGAGGTAGGCTGTTTACTCCCCTGATCCAGTTCTCAGATATCACATTTATATACATACACATACACATATGCTGATACTGACATTTGAACAGAGCTTGGGCACTATCCTTTTGCTTTTTTGCTCAAAGCTGGCACTCTACCACTTGAGCCAAACCTCCTCTTCTGGCTTTTTGGTGGTTTATTGGTTGAGAGTCTCAGAGACCTTCCTACCAGGGATAGCTTCAAAGTTCAATCCTCAGATCTCAGCTTCCTGAGTAGCCATGATTACAGGTGTGAGCTGCTGGCATTAAGCTTTACAGAATTTTGCATGTGTACTGTAGAGAGGTATACAGGTCACAACATTAATGCATTACTACAGTAATGTTCTCAATCCCCAGATGAGGCAACAATAGTTCACACATGCACATGGAAAATTCAGCCACGTGTCTGTGGATCTCTGAGGCACACTGTGCCTTCCAGTCCTGGCGTGCAGGTAACATGCACCAGGTGAGATGTGACATTATAAAACATTGTTTCCTCAGAAAGTTACATCTGGATGTGATAAATTAGACAGGACTCTAAACACTCACACAGTGGGACCAAAGGAGGATATTCTTAGGACAGGTTCACAAGAGCTATAACTATGTGCATATGATCATATAAAACGATACTTATCAAAATGAACTCCAAAAAATGGAAATGAGGGTTTTTTCCCCCTTTTCCTGTTTTTCCCATTTTGTCTTGTATGTAAATTTATCTGATTTTGGGGTGGGGAAGGGGAAGCACAGAAAAGATGGGACAAAGGGTGAACAAATGCAGTCGTGATGCTGAATATGAACTTGTGGGGGAATGGGGTAGGGAGGGAAATGGGAGAAAATAAGGGGAAAAAAACGTACTATTCAAAAAGACATATACTCATTACCTGCCGTATGTAACTATAACGTCTCTGTATGTCATATTTACAATAATTTTTTTAAAAAAACATTGTCTTCGGAGACTGTAGCATCTCTTTAAATGTATGAGAGAGTGTCTGTTGCTTGTACTGGGGCTTGAACTTCACATCTGGTGCTCTACAACTTGAGCCACATCTTTACTTCTGGCTTTTTGTGGGTTATTTGGAAATAGGAGTTTCTTTGATTCTTCCACTGGCTCCAAACCATCATTCTCAGATCTCAGCCTCCTGATCATAAGCGTGAGCGACCAATGAGCACAGAAGGGCCCAATAGCAGTGTTGAATGTCCAAGTGATTAAATGAATGAATGATAGCGAAGGGCTACAGAAGACAGCTGAACACTTGCTGTCAGTTTTCCCCAAGAATCGGAGGCATAAAAGGGAAGGTTTTTTTTTTTTCACTTCACAGAATTTCCTTCTTGTCCGATTCCAAAGAAGGCCCAATTTTGAACATCCCTGTGATCTCAATTTTGCTTTGCCAGCCAGACATAAAGCTTCAATGGCATTTGCTTTACTTTGCCTCCTTCTTCTTTACTAAACATAGGTCCACGGAGGCTTTATATACTGGTTTTGACCCCCCCCCCAAAAAAAATCGTGTCTAGGACTATTTACCAAGAAATCCCTTACAAGACACTTCAATGCATTTCCTTCCCTGTTGTAATGAAAAGGTGCGTAAGCTAGGCCCCAGGCCAGACAGACGCGAACATTTTTGACCTCTGGGAGCTGCCAGCCCCCTCGGGTAGCTTTGGGGTTCCAGTTTCCCAGTATCAGGCTTGGCCTGGCAGGGAGCCGGACTCCCACAGGTGGGTAGTGGGTGTGGCCTGCGTTTCTCCCAAGTCCCTTCCCCACCCCACCTTTCAGAGCAGAGAGGTGCCAGAGGGATTGCACCTCCATCGGGAGCCTGCTGAGGTACAGGCCGGTGGGGGGCCCTGCAGTGGGAGCCCTCCTCCCCTGGGGGCCCGCCACCATCCTGGGGGTTCAGGTCCCAAGCCGCAGCACCTCGGCAGAGAGCTGCTCCCCGGGCTGGCCAGTGGGGGGCGCTCTGTCGTGGGAACACGCGGAGCGCCGAGCAGGGCGGGACCGGGCGGGGCCGCGGCCCCCTTCATTCCCTCCCCTCGCTCCGCTGAAGTTTCCCCGGGTTCCGGGCGCGTCGCAGCGGCCTCTGGGGAGAGGAGGCGCCCGGCCGCGTCCTGCGCTGTTCCCGGGCGCCCGGCGGGGAGCCAGGTGCTGGGTTGCCCCGTCGCGCTCGGTCCCGAGGGCATGCGGCAGCCGCAGGGGCCCCGGCTCCCAGGCGAGCGCGTGCGGTGAGTGAGGTGCGGGGCGGGAAAGGGGGCTCCCGGAGCAGCCGGCCGGCCGGCGCGCGCGGGGTGACTCCAGGCACTGGGATCGCCGCGGATCCCAGCTTCTCGGGGTTGCTTGGCTCGCAGCTGGGCCCCCAATCCAGTCCAAACTTGCCGCGGCAGAACTTTCCAGGCCAGTGCCCCCCCCGGGGGGGCCATCTGGTCCTTGCCCACTTGGTTATTCTTAGGAGCGACCAGTCCTGGAGATGCGCGCTGGGGGCGGAGGCTGTGCGGGGCTGGTGGGCTAGGGGGACCGGGGCGCGCAGAGGGCCGCCCCCCCTTCCCCAGGGCTGCGCAGCCCCGCGCAGGTGCGGCTTCCCCCGGAGTGGAATCTGGTTCTCCCCCGGAGTCCCGGAGATAACGTTCTTCAGCTTCTGATTACACTCGGGGCAGGGGTGTGCAGATTGAGGGACGCTCCAGCCCTGCACTGGCATGCGTGTCAGGCTTCGCAGGAGTCATTCTTAACGGTTTTGCAGCGCTTATCTGGGCTGCTCAGGATGTGTAAGTGAGAGTCCGCAGCGACCCTCCCACCCCTCCTGGGCCGGACAAAAAGTGCTTTGTTTTCTAGCAGTGTTACTTTATTGCTTTCTTCAGAAAGTGTACAGGCCAAATGGCTTAGAAGTTTCTCAAGCATGTAATTTGAGGAGTGGCTGTGATTATTGGACACAATTTAGTCTATTTAGGTGATCATTAAAAGTGCCCTCAAAAACACTTGTGGGTCCATTTTTTTTTTGAAACTTACTAATTTTCACTAATCGTTTTCCCCATAATTTGTTTTTTTGTGTTAGTACTGGGGCTGCTTTGGCTTTTTTTTTTTTCCTCGACCACTTGAACCACAACTCCAGTTCTGGCTTTTTCTGCCCAGGTTGGCTTCAAACTGTGATCCTCGGATCTTCGGCCTCCTGAGTAGCATGAGCCACTAGCACCTTGGCTTCCTATAATTGGTATTGTCACTATAACTATTTTTCTCTCTCCTCATTAACGGATCACTTTATAAAGTAAAAGGCCATTGAACTTTTCAGAGCTCCCCCTTGTATTTTTTTATGTTTTTATTGTGAAAATACTGTACAGAGGGGTTACAGTTACATGACCAAGGTAATGAGTACATTTCTTATCAAGCATTGTGGCCTCTTCCTTTGTTTTTCCCCTACCATCCCTTCCCTCCCATCTCCACAACTACACTCCTGCCCCCCTAAATTGTAAAGTTCGATGTTCAACAGTGTCTTGTACATCTCATTGCTACAATGAGTCAACCTGTATCCTTATTTAAACATTTTGTTTTTTCCCTTCCCCTCCCCAAATTATACTGTCATCAAATACAGTGAAAACAGGGGTTATACTATGGGGGAGGAATGTACAAAGCAACAAAAAAAATCACATGGCACCTTATAAATACAATAGCAAGCAAGGAAAAAAACACTTGTGTTCCTATCTTAACATCATCTTATCTGGTCATATGTACATAGCTTTTGACCTTTTCTGCTTGTCCCAGACATATACTAGTTATTGCAAATAAGGGAAACCATAGGACCTATGTTTCTTTAGGCCTGGCTTACTTCACTTAGTATATATTTTCCCAAGTCTTTCCATTTCCTAACAAATTCCCCCCTTATATCTTATAAAACAAAATTAACTTCAGACACAGACATACCATATTTTGTGCACACATGCCATTTTGTTAATGCATGAATGTTTGTACAGCTAAGAATTTTGGCTTTTCCCTATGAACTATTAGTAGTTCATTTGCTACTAACCCTACTTTTTATGAGATATTGGATCCAACTTTATGTGCTGGTCTGAATCCAATGAAGTAGAGCTTCTCTTTTTGTCTCTCTGTCTCTCCATCTCTGACACTCTGTTTCTGTCTGTGTTTCTGTCTGTGTGTCTGTGCTTCTGTGTGTCTGTCTGTCTGTCTGTCTGTCTCTCTCTCTCTGTTTTATCCAGAAGTGTTACAGTTAGAAACAACAACCTTGGCTCTGTTAACATCATGCCTTTTCAAAGAAACAAACTTTTCAGAATTGCCATTCTAAAAAGTCCAGCAAGCCAACCCTGCCAGTGAGTTCTGGAGTACTGGAGATAAGCACACTCTCTTGAGAGAGACTGTGTGGACCCAGCCACCTAGCCATCTGATTATTACTGACATATAACTAGTGAAATGGATCATTTGGGCAATGTTTAACATTTCTCCTTTGTCTTTTAAATTCAAAACGTTGGGAATTTTGGTTTAGTTACAAATCACTCCTCTTTTATAAATGTAGCCAATACATTTATCTACTACGCAATTGTGAATCATTGCTACTCAGTAGGTGGAGATTGATGATCTGTGTTCTGTATTAGAGTTTGAACTCAAGGCCTTGTGCTTGTTAGGCTGGTTTTGCTTCTGGAGCCACACCCCAGCCTGAAGGTGGAGATTTGGAAGGTTACAGCTGAAGGCCAGCCTGGACAAATGTTAGCTTATCTCAAACAACCCAGGCATGGGGGTGTACCTGTACCCCCACTTCCATGGGCAGCATAGACAGGAAGATCAAGACTTGAGGTCCGCTTGTGCAAGAGTCAGACCTTATCAGAAAAATAACTGAAGTACAAAGAGCTGGCTCAAGTGGTAGAGCACTTGCCTAGCCAGCACAAGGCCTTCAGTTCCAAACTTAGTACCCCCCCCCACTCCCCTTCCCAAAGACTCTATGCCAAATCAGATCTATTTTGGGTTTGTGGCTGTGTTATGGGGTGGCTTATGGAACAGGTCTGCATGTTTTCCATGAATAAAAATTCAAGACATTAAAATATGTGAGTATTTTTGTGTATGTTCATCAGAACTTATTTGAAATGCTACAGTACATTAGTATCCAGGCAGAGAAAGACAAATGCACACACAGTGTTGTAGCCAAACAGCATTCTCAATCAGTTGAACCACACATGCCTTAGGCTGGTTGCTTATCTTCTTGATACTCCCTGCAAGGGAGCAGGAATCCACCATATCTTAAGCCAACCTCTTCTTTGTTTGGGCTGGAACAAGGGAAATCACTATAACTCAAGCGGGAATTTCTATAACTCAAATTACCCATTAGCCACTCTCCTTGAAGTGTGTGCATTAGTTCAAATGCTATCTGGCCTGTGATTATACCCAACAGAGTGGTTAAGTCTGATTGCAAGCTTCTAAATGGTTGAAACCGAGCACAGGGCATTATTAATGTAGGGTAAAGGGAAGAGCCAGGCTTAGCAGTTACATTAGCCTTTGTTCCAGACATCATTGTGAGCTTGGGAACATTGCTGCACCTCTGTAAACCTTCATTTCCTCATCTGTGTAAATGAAGGTTATATCCATCACTCAAGATTGAAAGAAAAAGAAAGGTCTCTGAAATGCAGGAAGTACTGACATGGTGGTTATCCTTATTTCCTCCTGGATGTTTATGTAAACCTGGGTACAAATGTATATTGTTCTAGTAAGGGGTAGATGCTCAAGCCACAGGTGACATAGAGATGCTAGATATACTTAAATGTGGTGTTCTCTTTTTGGGCCAAGAGTCTTTGGCTCCTCTTGCCACCATTGCTCCATCAAGTACTGAGCCTCTTCTGCTCTGGATTGAAGATCCTTAGTAACCTTTATCTTCGACCTCCTGTGTAGGTGGAGGGGTTTCCTGGGACTCCATGATGGGCTGGCCATAAGCACTGAGAGTTTGTGCTTTTACACATGAAGGGCTAGCATTTAGAGGCATACAGAGCCCAGGAATATGGATTCTAACCACAGCTGCACTCTTGCAAGCTCTTTTGACCATAAATATATGACTTGTGATTCTTGAATCAGTTTTGTCATTTATGCAATGGAGATAGTACTTACATGAATTTGTTCTTTCTCCATCTTGTCTTCTTTTTGTTTATTTATTTTTGGTATTTTTATGTACTTACCTTAAAATTTTTATCTTCTTTTTATTTGTTGTGTGTATTTTGAGACAAGATTTTGCTATAGAATCTGGGCTAGCCTTGAGCTCACTATGTAACTGATAGTGGCTTTGAATGGAACAATTCTCCTATCTCAGCCTCCCAAGTGTTGGGATTTTAGGTATGTGCTATCACACCTGCATGGGTTATTAGATCCCGTGAAGTCATCTACATGGAGAAACTTTGTCCCTGTGCAGGACCAAGAGATGTTGGAATTTTTGGGAAAGGGCATCCTGATTCTGGTCAGCTAGGCAGACTCTCTGAGCAAGGGGTGGCAAGATGTCCATGTGGTAGCTTGTGTACCAAGAAGGCATTTCCACAGTCCATCCTCACTCATTCCTCTCTCCTTTCCTTTGTGGTTATACTAGACTTCAAGGAAGAGATTGTAACCAGGAAGTTGGGAAACCTCTATGGGGAATATGTGAAGAAGATTAATTTGACTGAGATGAACAAATGTTATGTGAGGAAAGATCCAGAGCAGCCTCAAACACTCCTTGAATTACCTACGCTGTCTCTGACTTCTGTCCTCCATAGACAAACATCCACAGAGCCAACTCCACTTCCAACACGTACGTAAGGAAGCACACTCCTCCATTCCTTCCTGTGAACTTGGGTCTCCAAGGTTCAGCCTGCAAAACAATACTGGGACTTAGCATTCTTCCAGAGCATCTGATTATTTCATTTAGTCTCTTTCTTCTTCCCTCTTCCCCTCCTGATTTGACCTCTGTCTCACCTGACCCCCAATCTCCTGTCCTGGCTATCGACTTGACCCCTGTGACATTACCTCACTCCCATGAACCTTGTCTCCCTTCCTCAAATGTGAATCATTCACCTTCTCAGGCTGGGCCAGACTTCATGTTGCTCCAGAAAGCGACCTGCATCACCCTTTTCTAACATGCTTAATCAGCCTCTCTTATCTAATTACTCATCAACTAGTAGAATGTCCAGCCTAAGGTCCAGGGGAACTAAAGGCTGGAGGATTTGCTAGCCCTGGCTGCTGCATATAGGTGACATTATCCAGGGATAGCTTAACAACTGATAGGGTTACTGGGGTGTACATTAGCCCCTCCACAAGCTTACTAGCTACCCAATGACTTTCCAAGCCAATATGAAGAGTCAACAACTGCAGTGTACTTGCTTTCTAAATGAAGCCTGAAGACAAGGCCTTGTTCTCTCCCTTAAATCCTACAGCTGAAATATTGCCCTTGATTTCCAAATTATATTCATGTCTATCAGCTATTCACCCTTTAAATCTACTATTTGTTTTCCTTGGAGACATATTGGTGTTGGTAGAGAAGTATTCTAAGGGTGTGTTGATGGTTTATTCTCCCTAAACCTCTACCTACAGACTTACCTTTCATTATGAGTCTGCCAGTCAGCCATCTATCTCTGTGAAAGCTGTCAAAGATGATTATTGTCATCACTCTTTTACATGTGTTAGTTGGCATTCTGTTCTAAGGGAGAACTTACTTTCTCATGTTTTTTAAAAATTCTCTTCCTCCCTCCCTCCCTCCCTCCCTTCCTTCCTTCTTTCCTTCCTTCCATCTTTCCTTCCTTCTTTCTTTTTTTCTTCCTTTCTTCCTTCCTTCTTTCCTTTTTTCTTCCTTTCTTCTTTTCTTTTCCTTTTTTTTGGTCTATAGTGGGGCTTGAACACAGGGCCCAGATATTGTCTCTGAACTCTTTTGCTCAAGGCTAGTGCTCTACCATTCTGAGCCACAATTCCACTTCTAGTTTTCTGGTGTTTAATTGGAGATAAGATTTTTCCTGCTGGGGCTGGCATCAAACTGCAATCCTCAGATCTCAGCCTTTTGAGTAGCAAGGATTACAGATGTGAGCCACCAGTACCCAGTTTTTTTATTCTCTTTCATTAGGAAAGATTCATGGATTCCTTTGTATTCAATATGTTGAAATATTTCACTTAGTTTATGTGTTTTGATGTTCAACTTGTCCTCATTTTAGCCAGTGGAAACTTTGTAATACTTGCTCCTGTAACCTTTTGACACATATCTATCATTTGTTGAGTATTTCTTTAGTTTCTGGCACCACAGGATGTTCTAGGCCCATCTTGTACTTTCTCTAACCTAGTTCATCTTCCCTTTTAGTAGAGAAAGGAATGTTTTCTAATTAAAATTGCTTATGTTTAAGGGAGTACACCATGGATGTTTTGATATACTTATCTTGATATCTCTATATGTATATATAGTGAAATGATTAGTGAAGCTTAGCAAATTAACATATCTCTCTCATCTCATACAGTTGCCTATTCTCATGTGTGTATGATAAGAGTACTTAAAATCTACCATCTTGGCAAATAACCAGTCTGTAAAACTGTATTGTTCACAATAGCTCACAGTTGTATACTTCAGTGGAGAGGAGGGAGAAACAGGAATATGCAGACCAAAGTAAGATGGGTGTCAGTAGCTCACTCCTGTAATACTGGCTACCCAGGAGGCTGAAATTTGAGGATCGAAATTTGAAGTCCAGAAGACTCTTATCTCCAATTAACTACCAGGAAAGCCTGACATGGAGCTTTTGGTCAAGTGGTAGAGTGTTAGTGTTGAGCAAAAAAGCTCAGGGACAGCTCCCAAGCCCTAAATTAAGCCTCAAGAAAGGCACAATTTAAAAAAAAGATACAAAGCTGTAGTAAGGTTCAGAAGTCTAGAGGTTTGATTTATACAGGCTGATGTGAGGAGATCAAGATACAGAAAGTTGAGATGTCCATTCTATGGTGCTGATGTTGTATCTACATCACTCTGAAGACAAAGCAGGAAATCAATGAATAATTGAATAAGTAAATATGTGTATATACAAGCCACACACCCATATGCATCTATAAAATTTTCTCTATTACTTCCATATGAATTTAAAAATCATGTATTTCATACGAATACCTCTAACTCAGGCATCTTCGTGTTTCTCTCCTTGCTATATTTGTGTATTTCTTCTCTGGCCATTAGAATGTTGAATCTAACTATTTTCAATGTTTTAACTGGTTTTCTAAATGTAATCAATTAGTCACCCTGCTTCCTCTGTGTCCATCTGCCTTCTTTCCCGATGCCTCTTGTCCTTGACTGCCAGGTGTGTGAGCCTGCGTCTCTGTGCAGCTTCATCATCAGACTCTGGTCCTTCCAGCTCCCGGCTCTGTGTGGCTCATACCCATTGCCCTTAACTTTGTGTGCCTGCCTACACTCCCCTTTATCACACTCAACCTTGAGCTGACTATTCTCAGGAGAGAGGAAAAGAGAAGGAAGGGAAGAAAGAAAAAGATGGAAATGGACAGAAAGCAAGAATAGGAATAGAATGTATAAAATCTTTTGCTATATGTTGCCAAATGACATTGTTCAAAAGTTATATCCAGTCTCTTCTCACCAAGGTGCTATTAAAGCACTACTTTCCCCCCTACATCCTTGTTAATCCTGAATATGAGTTACCAGTTTAAATGTTCTTAATCTGAGAGCACTTTACTTCTGTCTCCATGTAAGCTCTTCTTTCACCTGCGAGGTCAGAATTCTCCCCCTTGGCAATGCTGATGTTTTGGTAGTTGTTTGTGTGGAGGGTAGAGGTGGGCATTTTGGCACAGGTAGCAGTATTTCTGACCTCTACCTGGTAGATGCCAGTAGTATACCACTTATAGCTATTTCAGTGAATCTAGATATCTTTGGGAAAAAGATGGAGTTAGCACTGCCTGGGACCCCACAGTTACAGATTATGATGTTTGTGAGGGCATTTTTACATCCTTATAAATGTCTTAATACATCTTTGTCTTTGTATTGCTTTTTTTTTTTTTGTCATCATGGGACTTGAACTCTGGGCTTGGGTGCTATCCCTCAGCTCTTCAGCTCAAAGCAAGTGCTCTACTGCTTGAGCCACAACACCACTTTCAGTTTTCTGGTGGTTTACTGGAAATAAGAGTCTCACCGACGGGGCTGGGAAGGTAGCTCAGCGGTAGAGTGCATGCCTTGCAAACATGAGGCCCTGGGTTCGATTCCTCAGCACCACATAAACAGAAAAAGCCGGAAGTGGCACTGTGGCTCCAGTGGTAGAGCACTAGCCTTGAGCCGAAGAGCTGAGGGACAGCACCCAGACCCAGAGTTCAGGCCCCATGACCGGCAAAACAAAACAAAACAAAACAAAAAGAGTCTCACAGACTTTCCTGCCCGGGCTGGCTTTGAACCGTGATCCTCAGATCTCAGCCTCCTGGGTAGTTGGGATTAGAGTAGTGAGTCACCGGCGCCCGGCACAGTGAAGAAGTATTAACTGGACTGGGAAAAGAAGAATCAGTAAATGGGTAGACTCTACCGTAACAGAACCAGTAGAACTTGTCTATCAATTACATGCATATAACTCTCCATAAATCGAAGTTCCAGGATCATTCAACAGAGGGAAAAGAATATAATGCCAACAAGGTTCGATTTTTATGGATGAGTAGGCCATTAGGATAAGTAGGACTCTAGCATTACCAGGTCACCATCAGTCCTAGATTTCCACCTTAATTTCTTATTGCTAAATAATTGACAACTATAACCATGTCCAGTTGATAGACTGTTTTGTTGAGGGGCAAAGGAAAATTTTTTAGGAAAAAGTATAACAGAACAGCACTCAAAGTTCTAGAAAGATGCAAATAGGTTACCTCTCTTAGCTTTTTCTGAAACAAGAAAATTGCCTAATCATTGTAATTTTCTAGAATATATTTGCAGTTTGATTTTGATGTTTTTACTTGGTTACATGGACTTTTCCATGATCATCTTTTGTCAAATACTTTAGAGAAGGGAACCACTTACAAGTTTTTATGGTATTTGCCACAATCAGATTATAGCTCTTCAGGAAACAGTAAAAGTTTGCAAAAGGCATTCTTGTCATTATGGAGAATAACTGCATATTTCATTTCTCATGGGAACAGATAATTGCCTACCAAAGAGAAGCTCCATACATTAGTATGGAAAAAAAGAAAGTTGGACTAGAAAGAGGAGTCTACTTCTCTGTGAAGTAGAGAATTTCCTATTGATCATCTGACCATCTTACCACAGGATCCGATGCAGAAAGATGTGAGCTCACTCTGAAAGCTGTTGGTGGTACGCAGTGAATGTGTCTTCATGGGCTACTCCATGATACCAATAGAGTGGTCTGGAGGAAGTGTGGTAATGTACAGCTTACATGTGATATACATATGACTTACATCCTGATTCATTGATGGTAATTAGAAAATGTGCTAGCCTGAAAGTTCAGTCATATAACTCACTTATGAAGCACCATAGGTTAACAACAAAGTATGCTGTAGGGTAGAGGCTACTTTCCCCTTTTGAATACATGACCATTTGGGAGCTGTGGCTTAATGCCATTACTGAGCATTAATTGGGATACCACATATGGCTAGCCCAGATGAAGATTGAGATTCAAGGTTGAACTACGTTTGCTACTCTGTGTGATTTACTCTCTCACCACCATGAAGTCAAAAGTCAACTTAGGAATTATCACAAATTGGGAGCCATTTGTAGTTAGGATGATAGACGTCAGATTTTCAGCTGAGCTGGCTAACTTCTTTCTTTTTCCTGATTATAAATATTCATCCAGGACTAATATGTTCAGTGGTGCTGGAAAAACACCAGTTAGTAACTGAACAGGGTGTGAGAGGAGGCCTGAGCTTTGGGTTTGTAATTCCAGTTACCCCCCAGGCCTGAGCGAGCCATCTCAGTAAACTCTGCTGGACCCCTCACCTCACTTCCTGGGAATAGGCTTAGCCTGGGGCTCACTGAACTTGCTCTTCTCTACACCCAGAGGTGCGCAGGGCTTTCCAGTTGCTGTGGCATTTACTTTCACCCAATTATCTAAATTAGATTTTCTCTCCCTTTTACTACAAAAGTAATTGAGGTTCAAAAAGGTGAATTGCTCCCTCCCCTACCCCCCAGGCCTTGTTGCTAATTACAGCGGTCAAGTGTGTCACCACTTAAGCTGTTCCTAGCCCCTTATTTGAATAGCCCGAGGACAAAGGTACTCTTCCTGTCCCCACTTTGTAGATAAGGAAATTAAGGCACAAAGAGGCAAATTGACTTGCTAATAAGACTTCAACCTGATGACTTGCTTGTTGATGACGTGACTATTCTGTTGCCCCTTAAATGGCTTAAAGGCTATTGTCCCTACTGAGTCCTAGCATCCTAGTTAAAATCCTATGATCTTACAGCCTTGTGGTTGTTTCTGGTCTCTCTATTCTGTTCCTCTGGTCTATAGATCTGTCATTATTCCAGTGCTATAAATTTTTATTACTGTAGCATTGAAATAAGTTTTAAGATCAGAAAATAGGAGGCCTACAGCTTGGCTTTTTCTTAAGGTTGTTTTGGCAATTTAGGGTCCTTCATGGTTCTGTATGGGTTTAGGGGTATTTTTCCTTCTAGTTCTATAAAATGTTATTGGAATCTTGCCAGAGATTTCTCTTTGAGAAGTATGGAATATTTTAGCAAGACTGTCTTCTGGGCCATGAACAGGAGATGTTTTTCCATTTATATCTGTGCCTTCTTTAATGTCTTTAAGCAGTGTTGGGGATTTTATATCTCCTTGATTGTTTATTCTTTGGTATTTTATTTATGTGTGTATATATGTTTTGTGTGTGTGTGTGTGTGTGTGTGTGTGTGTGTACATGTTCAAATGAGTAGTGGGGCTTGAACTCAAGGCCTGGGAGCTGTCTCTGAGCTTTTTTGCTTGAGGCTAATACTCTCACTTGAGTCACAGCACCACTTTTGAGTTTTTTGGTGGTTAATTAGAAATGAGAATCATGGAGTTTCCTGTTCCAGCAGGCTTTAAACCATCATATTCAGATCTTAGCCTCCTGGGGAGCCAGGATTACAGGAATGTACCACTGGTGCCTGGCTCAAGTGACATATGTTTAATGTATGTCTTGCAGGTTTACTGAATTAATTTAGTCTAGGAGATTTTTTTTTTTAGTCTGTGTGTTTTCTACATTGAAGATAATTTAACTTCTTGCTTTCCAATTTGTTGTACTATATCTTTCTTTCTCCTTCTTGTTACTGAGTAAGAGTAGTGAGGGAAGGCATTCTGACCTTGCTCCTGATCTTAGGAGAAAAAGTTTGGTTTTCCCCATTGATGTTTTCTGCTAGTATTTGAGCACCAAATCTGAGTCCTGGGTCCTTTTACTGTAGCATGCTGCTCTCTTCTCCTCTTACCCTTCCACTCCTCCTTTTGCTGTTTCTCAAGCAGTTCGGAGAGAAAGTGGCAGGTCTGAAGCCCTCTACTTTGGCACTTAGTCTTTATTGAGGCAGAGAAAGTCTTTACTTCAGTGTAGAGACTTATAGGATGGCCTTGTTATCATTTCCTATTAAAATGAGGTGTTAGAGCATAAATTTATAGATACCTAGAGTGCCACTGGAATATTACCTTATATTTCTCGAAATTTTGACTGACCTCACCTTCTTGGGAAGTGATATCACTTGTACCACTAGTAAGTACTGCTAGAAAGTACTAGATAAAATGAGAGGATGGGTGGAGGTGGGATAGATGGGGAGGCATTGATTAAAATGCATTAGACTCACAAACAGAGGTGTTGAATTGAAACTACTTTGTACAAGCCCTTAAGGATAGTAATAATAAAAATATGAAAGAAAGTACTACTGGAAGATAGTATTACCAAAAATAAAATTTTAAAAATAAAAAAAAGAAAGTAGTACTATCACTAGCCAAGTACTTAATTTCCTGTGTGTTAGAAGTGTTGCTTGGAGTGCATCCTTCCAGTATCCAAGATGGTTGTAATGATCATTGCTTTTTTTTTTGGTTGGTTGTGGGGCTTGAACTCTGGGCCTGGGGCGCTGTCCCTGTGCTCCTCAGCTCAAGGCGAGCACCCTACCACTTTGAGCCACAGCACCACTTCTGGTTTTCTAGTGGTTTACTGGAAACATGAGTCTCATAGACTTTCCTGCCTGTGCTGGCTTTGAACCGTGATCCTCAGATCTCAGCCTCCTGAGTAGCTAGGATTACACTGGCACCTGGCTGATCCTTGCCATTTTTAAAGGGGAAGAAGGTTCTGTTCAAAACAGTAGGGTGCATGTTAGAGCATGTTAGATGGACGACATCTGACCAGGTCCTGCTGACGGCCCCTTACCATTCTGTCTCTTCTGTACATCACAGTCTGCAATGCTCTCCTCAAAGGGTACAATCTACCCCAGAACCTCACAGATCTGGTTTTTCTTTGTCTAACTTGTTTTGGACATCCATGCAAAAGCATCTTTTCCCCTTTTCTGTCTTCATTCTGGCTCACCAACACCATGGCAGAACAGAAATGAAAAATCTACAAGATCAACTCCCACTTAGAAGACTGGGAAACCAGAGTTGAGTGCCTTAATTATGCAGTCTGTCTGACAGGGCATATGAAGACTTCCCTCCTTAGCAGGGGAATAAGTTTTTGTGGCTGAATGCTGCTTCTGCTCTCAGGTTAGGTTTCCCAGAGGCCCAGACTGTATCTTTGTCTCCTGGGAAGTCCTTCCTTGTTCTTGGTTCTCTGTGGCTATATCTAAAGTGAATGTTGGAAGTAAATGTGTGCTCCCTGACAGAGGAAGAACATGAGCGTTTCCAGGCCAACTGTGGCTTCCCTGGCAATACATTTCCTTCTGGTTTGCTTGTTTTTAGTCAGTTCTGCGAGCCAGTCACCACATCCAAATTCCAGTCAGGATCCAGTTTTTAACCATGTCCACTTGCCAGCTTTGGTGCTTGACCCATCTTTTTCTTTTTTTTTTCTTTGATATCTCCTTTGAAATACAGTTGGAACATGAATGTGGGTAGAAGGATGAACCATTAGTCAGCTGTTTACTGCAAGCCTGCCTCTGTTGTAAGACTGTTATAAGTAAGCCTTTGGGAAAGGCTGTTTGTGGTGAATGCTATTTTTTGTGTTTTGTGATTATAAAGATAATTAACTTTTTTGATCCTCTAAGATCCCTATCCCCAATATCTAGCCTCTGCCTATTGGCTTCCAGCTTTGCTTGCAGGTTTACATGCCATTCTTGCATGAGACCTGCTGAAAGCTAGAAGGAACAGCCAGCACTTGCTCATGCTCTGGTTGTTAGCAATCCTTCACTTAGAGCTACAGGTTTCTTAGACAAAATACAATGACTTGACTAAAACAGAAGTTTATTTTTCTCTTATGTTCTGCAGTGAGTGTTTTAGGTTCAAAGGGTTCCTTTGTTCTTGGTTCTTTGCCATGCTGTGGGCTACTGCCTCTCAAAAGCTCTGCTTAAAAACTGATTGTCTTTATTTCCAATAAAGAAATTCGCTGGCAGCACAGTTCAGTAGTAGAGAGCAGTTACCTAGTATGAAGAAGGCCACAGTTTCAATCCCCAACAAGAAAGGAAGGAAGGAAGGCAAGAAACAAGGAAGAAAGAAGAAAAAAGGAAGGAAGGAGAGAAAGAAGGAAGGAGAATGGAGGGGAACAAAGGGGAAAGGCTTAAACTCAGGGCTTAGGGACCATCTCTGAGCTTTTTGCTCAAGGCTAGCACTCTAACACTTAAACCACAGGGCCACTGCAGCATTTTCTGAGTAGTTTATTGGAGATAAGAGTCTCACAGATTTTTCTGCCTAGACAGGCATGAGCCACTGGCTTCTGGCAAGAATTACTTTTTCTTTCTTCCAAAGATCAATACTTGTGGTTTATATTCTGTCCAGAGACAAATCTACTGATGATGTGTTTGTTTCTCACAGCAATGTCAATTGCTATAAACATGTCTAAGTATTCTCAATTTCTGTTTATTATGGATGGAAACTTGTCCATGACTACTTTGATTTGAGCTGCTCTAGGGCTTTGGCCTTGTCTGAATGTTCAGTTCTAGATCACAGGCCTGTTTGTGTTCCAACTTGCCCAAAAGGAACAGTGCATGAGGTGTGCATGTTCAGTGTCTTAGGGCTGACCTGCACTAGCACATTTCATTTTGTGTTTACTTTGAATTATTGAGCAGTTAGTGGTGCTAAGTGGTCACCCCAGATGCAAGAAGGCTGGACAGTGGAGCATCCAGATGTGAGCTACAGGTCTATTATTCTGTAAAAAAGGAAACCATGATTTAGCAGTTCATACCGTGGAACATGAAACTAAAAAACATTGAAGAAATAATTACTACAGAAGTCACAGGAAAATTTGCAATTATGG